GAGGGTAAATAGAAACAAAACAAAGCAAAACAAGACAAGAAATAATAAAAAATAACCTGATGATAAATTTGTCCTGAAGAATTTATTTCAAGCAGCAACTACATGTAATCGCTATTTTGCCGAGGAGAAAAATATACGTAAATCCTTAGCATTATGTAAGCTCAGTTAAAAATAAACAATTAGCCAAACCTCACGTGCCTTCGATGTCATCTTTTTTTGGTAGGTTTCAAATAACTTTCCCATTAGGTAATTCGTCACGGTTTAAATTGACACGAGCAATGCTAAGAAAAAGAAATCTGCGTATAAACCGGAAAAGTCGGTAGCCACAACCCCTTGCAGCTACATGTACCGGCATTTCATAGCCAAGTTGTGTGCAATCTTGAACTTGACTTTGTTAAAACGTGCTTACTTGCGTTAACTACCCGTACTACTTAGGCGTACTGAACACAATGTGCCTAGTAAACTCTCACCTCTGTTTTGCATTCCACAAGAGGTTTCGCTAAGCCCGAGATTCTTCTGTAATCTTTTCCCATTAAGCTTATTATTTCAGGTAAATCTTCGTTTAGCCTTATCCGCCATCTTTAAGTACCCGATTCGCTCATAATTAACCGCTTACATGCGGATTTAATTAGTATCAAATTAACGCATACAAGTGGTCAAAGTAGGGCCTATTTACCTATCGAGACCTGAAAGGACTCAAGGCCTGGTGCCATAGCCTGCGAACCCTTAAAACGCGGCTTTGGAAAAGCTTTGGATACCATTATGCCTCCTAAACGCGATTTTAGGTCGAAAAAAAGTTTGAATGTAGTTACTTTTAAAGGAGGAAAAGCTATAAGAAAGTCGAAGTTTAGTGTTCCAGTTCGATATGCCGCCCAGCAATTAACTGATACAACGTCTGTAGTCGCCGGATCTTCTCTAAACACGTGCGGCGGTTTTTCTCCAGACTAAGAAGACCTTCCCCATATTGACGAATATCATGGTTTGAGAACCAACCAAAACTATAAAAGTAAAAAAGTGCGACTGAAGCGCAAGTTAAAAGCTTACCACGAGAGGAAAGCCACGCTGGCTTTGTCTTGGTTCAATGCGAGAGAGCAGCTCGTCTCAGGGCTGTTGACCAGACAGGCTTTGCCTTTGGGGCAGATGTGTGTCATTTCTTTTTGCGAAGAAGAGGCGTGCGGCAGGTGCCTTCACTACAGTCCAGGGCAATTCCTATGCGCAGATCACATCAATTTAGTTCACGCAGGCGGTAGATCACTTCACCACCCGGAAGTTTGGAAAGTGAGTTGAAGATTTATGGAGGACAATCTCCTCCAGTCACCTTTTCAATTATGTTGTGAAACCCGATTTCTTGTGTACTCTGGCCGTTAGGCAATTTCATTTGTAAGTACGTTGTCTTGTGGTTTAATTGCAGAGACATCCATCTTTTTTTCCTTACAACTCCATATATCACCTCTATTCAATTACTTCACTTGATGTTTTTTCTCAACTTCATTGTGCATTATGTCAATGAGACCTGACCCATTTTTATACAGAGGAAAAAGCGAAAGCAGTTAGGATAATTTTTTCTTGCAAGCATACATGTAATTTGCTCTATACTCAGAACAAAGTAAAGTTTATTTTTGGCAATTTTGAAGGAGTTGGCTGATTTAAATGGTGTGTGATTTGTATTCACCTGATTCATGTAGGATATTTTATGCTCTTAGGATGGAAGATTTGTGCCATATCAGTTTGGTGAGTGTGTATGGACCACACCTCACACCATGGATCATGGATATGTGCGTGACATTATGGCTGTCGGTTTGCATGGTAAGTAACTACCAGCTGTGCAATATGTAACTATATTGTGAGATAGGTTGCCAGTCTGCAATTACTAGTACTACTTTTTACTTATACTTATATTTAAATAGTTAGGTTACCTCTTCCAGGAAGGTCTTTGTTTGTGTTTTAATTGTTTTTTCAACACAGACAGGAATTAATAAACAATTATTATAGAAGAATACGACTATGGACACTCTATGGTGTTTGTCTTTATACAGGGCAGCAGAATCCCATCAAAATCAAATGTTGCGAGCATGAACCAGAAGCCATAACGCTGGTCAGGAATGGTTTCTGGCCATCTACTCCAAAACAGCCCCAGGTAGCCTTTGACCTTGAATTTATGGCCTTGCTCCAATACATTTTCTTAGAATGTAGAGTGTCTTCAAGGTCAATATGTCAGGCACTGCAGTGGCTGGTCCCACCTGCTTCAAAGGTTTACGCAAGTATTCATTCAGTAATTTTTTATCTTATACTTATGAATTCCTTTTTATTTTCTTAATTTATACAATAAATAAATTATTTGTTTTCCTTTAGATTAAGGACATCTAGCGGCTCCTTGTTGGAGATTGTTTCTGCAAGTTCCAGTATATGTCTAGCACGTTGAGTAACCTGAAGCAATTCAATCCTTCTTATGAGAATGATCATGAATGTCCTGCATGTCCTAAGGTTTGTGATAAGTCATCCTTCAGATGAAATGTCTAAGTGGGTAATATTTACCTTTAGAAATCTCAAATGACTATCACTATATGTGTTGGCATAATGAATGATATAATTTAGACAAGAAACATTGTTTTGAATCTTTATGATTCTCTCTTTTTCCTAGTAGTCCTCATAGTGTGGCAGCTGGTCTTAGCATGAGTTATTCCATTGTTTTTCATTCATTTAGGTGTAAGAAATATCTTTAACATGAAATTTCTAATAAGATTTTGGCATCTGATTGTAGGAAAAGGGAAGTTTATTTATCTCTGTTGATGCATTGTTTGGATGTGTCCGCAAATGCAGTGCTGGAACTAGTGGAAAGTCCTCAAATCATGGAGAGGAACTGTTCATTAGCCAAGAAAAAGTAGAATGATGCATTTCTAGCTAATTACAGCAAAAGACCAAGCAGCAAGTCAATGGTGTGTGAACCAAAGTACTTTTACTCTTACTTTGTATTTTGTTGTGTTGCTCAAACCTTTTGTTACCCATCAGTACTCATACCACTACTCAATCATTGCAATGAGAGACCAAAAGTAACAATTATGTTGGTTACTTGTAATAATGATGTTAGTGTTGAATAATTTAAATACGGTACAGTTTGAAGGGTTAATTACTTTGGTAACATTCTGCCCAAAATACATGTAGCTCAAATATATTGTTAGTTTGTTTTGTAAACTTAATTTACAAGAACTGTGTGAATTGTCAGCTTCAAGAACAAGTACATAATCTTTATTGCAGCCCCCTCTTTTCCTTGATCTTTTTCTATTTTTTATTTATTTATTTATTTTCAAATACAGTTTTTCCCCTCTTTGTTTTGGAATTGATTTATGGTCTTTAAAGGTAATATCTTTGTATTTGCTTACACAACTAACTCTGCCAAGGGTGTCTACTGTCACTCTTGCTGGTCTCAAGCCTGAATGAAAGAGGAGGGGTTGTTATCAAGCAGTAAATTTATTTGGTTGTCCCATTTTTAAAATTTTTATGAGAAATTGATGAATGATTATTATTTTCTGCCAATATTTTCCTTGCCACCTTTCCCATAATGTAATGTTTAATTTCTAATTTGAGGGTTCACCTCCTACAACCCATATCTACTTTGAATGCTACACGTACATGAATGCTACATAGATCTTAATTCCTGTTCTGTTTTTATCTTTGATACTTCTGCTTTAAATGACATCTCAAGAAAAGGTAGAAAGGAAGTTGAAGATTAAGAGTTAAATGTTTTCTGTTGTAGGAGCAGTGTAATCAGTTTCAAGCTGGTTCCAATCTCCGTTCCAAAAACAAATCCACAAAGCTTGATGAGACAGCCCTCTTTGGTGGAGGCTGCAAGCACGAAGTGCCACTGAAGTTTTTCAGCTTAAAGAGAGGAGAAGAGTATGTACATGCAAAAGGAAATCTGTACATTATTGGTCAGCTATTGTTAAGAAATATGTAACCAGAGTGCCTTGTAGGATGCATAAATTAAGAGACATGTCACTTTTAGGTTCCTAAGGAAAGAATTTGTATATGATAGTTGTACTGCTGTATAGCATAACTCTGTTTTATACACCATTTCTATTAGGGTACTCAATGAAACTAGGGAACAAATAAATTACTGCATGGACATTGTGGCTAATAATGATTATATTTTTATTAAACAGGATTGGAAATGCTGTGTATTTGCTAAAATGGATTAAAAATCATGTGCAAGATTAAGCTATCAACATTCGCTTCTTCTATGATATTGCATGTGTGCTGGATACACATTTGAGAGTAAGATTATTTTAGCGGTTTTATTTGAATTAAGTTGTGGTCATGGTACTCTGGCATTTTTGCTTGTTAAATGATGCCCTGTTGTTTTTAATTTATCTTCTCTGTAGAATACGCATCAGGAAACATTGCTTGAAAATGTTACTTTTGCGATACCTGCATTTCACTGCTATGGACACAAAGTTTCTTGTCAGGTATTTTGAAATATTTTCCTTTTGAACACTTTTGAGGAGTTGAAAGGTATTGAAAAACACATGCATGCTTACTCTAAAACAGTTATTGTTTTCATGAAGCTTTGTTTGGTCTTTTGTAACGCCAGGTCAACTACAGTGGAAGACGGCTGGAAGGGTTCGGGATGAGTGATGGCGAGGTGATGGAGAGACTGTGGTCTTACTTGAGGCCAACAGCAAAAATAACGAAGGAAATGACTCCAGCCCACCGAGTTGATACATTAACTGACTTCTTGATGCATTACGCTAAAAAGTCAATTTCGAACCTTGGTAATTTAGCTGTTAATCTTCACGTTTTACAAATACAGTTATCACCACAGTATATCATATTATAAACGATTTGTGATATGTTTTCGTCAACTCAATCGTTATCTTGCTGTTTTTCACCATGTTTCGTTATTCCCAAAAATTTAGGAGAACGACTTCGTGACCATTTAAAGAAAGCAGTGGAAACGGAGAAAGAAACTGAAGAGCAACTCAATTTTCTTCTTGAGAAGTTGAATGAGACAGGTAGGGATTTGATTTCGTTACTTTCTTTATTTTTCCCTTCAACTAATTACATTGTTCCTTTACGTGTTAAAAAGAATTAGACTTCATTGCATGTGCGTCCTGTTGTGAGCTTTATGTCGTAAATACATGTACGGTTAACGTTCCTTAAGAACTTTTGTAAAGAAACCACATGGTATGTTTTCATACTCCATGGACCAACTTCATTCAAATAACTTCAGCTTAAGTGGTGCACTATTTTAATACAATCAATTGTATATTCTTTTCCTTTCATTAGTGAATTGGCATTTGGGTATTGCGGAATACTAGAAAATGAAACTTCGATGAATGTAACTTTGTTAGATACATAGGTATGTCTAGATGATGATACAGCCCCATTTTACTATTACTAAGGTATTAAGGTGGACGTATCCGGCGTCTCAGAGTGGAGCATTATGGAGAAATCTACGGCTAACAAAGCGGCCAGTACAGGAAAACCCATTACGTACAAATTTCGCCTATTCATTGAGAGGAACGTATTTGGAATGGTTCACCTTTAACGACCAATAATAATCATGACAAATGAATGATTTCTATTGTACTTTGTCCCCCTTTTGATTACAGAGTGATAAATGTTTTGAAGTGCTTAAGAGGAAATTAGAGTACCACAACTGAAGTTCAGATAGGTACACGCAAGTTACTTAAACAGTTACAAGTTCGTTTATGATTTTACGTTTCCTACTTGGAGGTTCATCACCAGATGATTACCCGGACAAGTTGAGGCAGTTTTTCTGTGTAAGGTATGAAGTAGCATGGGGATCTGGTTTTCATACAATGTTTACCCCAAATTTTACAGGAAATGTGTCACTTTTGGTCCGTCACTTTCTGTCATCTCTCCTGACTTTCTTTGATGCTTGTCTTCTGAATTTTCAAACTGTTCATTAACAGAACAAACCTGCAAAAATGTTCCCCGGCATCTGAAACTCGGAAAGTACTGACCGATCAGCTTGACAGGTATGAAACCATATTTTGGATCCTGCAATTTATTCCCCTAATCTGGGAACTAAATGATCTTTACGTAAGGATATTAAAACGATTTTCAAATGAGGTCCGCCAAAACAAAGCAAAGAACTTATTACCAGCCACAAAATCTAGAAATAGCTTATCATACAAGTAAACAGACAATCAGGCAGTAGGGCAATCAGAATTATGGAAAATTCCATGTCATTACACGTGGAAGTCGTTATTGGTATTTTACTGGGTTCTCAGGGCAAGTTTTGATTGCCAATCGCACTTCAAAGCAATGCAAATCCAAACCAATAATTTCAACCAAATTTTGGGTTTCTCCACTGTTTTCCTTTACGCTGGTAATAGGTTGGATCACCAGCTAAAGAACCTTGAGGGCGGCCAACCCCGATGGTCTCCTGACAGTAGCATGTATATTGCATACCTCTGCGATTTGCAAGACAAGCGTCGAGAAGACTTGCTATTATCCATGCATGTCAAGTGCTCAGAAAGGTGTTTTCTCTTACAACTGATGAAGAAATATGCAGGTATTGCATTGATATGTTCCAGTGCTAACAGTCGTCGATAAAAGCCCGATTACAGCTAACCAACACATCGTATTGAAATGACTATAACCTAGGCTTTCTAGGGTATCATTTTGACTCATGTCGTGTTAATTCTTTAGATGGACAAGCCATTGCAAAACGGCTTTGTACGCAAATTACAAAGGCAACGGGAGCCATTAAACAGCTGGTCAAGGAGTACACAAGACAAAACGTTGACACGGTGGGTTGTAAATACCCCTCCACAATTGCGTTTGAAGACGCGCTGAGCATCGACAGTCCACTGTGGCGTGTACTAAACGATGACATCCAACCGCAGTCTGCTGTTCCCTATTGTTTAAAGAGGCAACTCATTGATTTGTTTCACACACGAAAAAGATGCTTAGAGGAAATAGCCAACACCAGAAGAAGAAATGGCTCGGATGTTCAGTCATTTCGAGGGAAAGTTGAAGGTATTGGACACTTGGTCAAAGGAACTGATGGCACAGAAAGATAAGGGGGGAGCTCGCGCATTACTCTCCATTGCCCGCACTAAAATGGATGAGCTTTCCGTATTCACAGGTCATCTCCACGGTCTCTTTTCTAATGATGATGGTAGCCATGAGGAATGTGAAGCTCAGTTTGACCTTGGAATTTTCCCCGAAGCGGATTGTGATGATGCCGATGAGGAGGTTCAGATGGAGGACGATTACAACACTAATGAAGTTGACGTGGTTCAACAGCTTGGCCAAAGTGAAGTCTTTGAGGAACTGCGTTCCGTTCTCAATGCTGAATACGGAAGTGACAGTGAATCTGATTCAGATAGTTCAGATTTAAACACAGAAATATCTTGATTGTAACTTGTGAGTCGTTTCAACTGCCTGTTCCTTTTCCTCTTTCACTCAAGAATGTAAATCTACGAACAAGTGTTACCAATCAGCTAAAAAAAATTAAGCTCAGTGTCAACTAGTCAGTCACTTTACACGACAAATAACAGCTCTCCTCCACGAATTAATTCAATCTTGTTTTATCGACTTTGGCTCCTTGACGCATCCTTACCTGGTCATTTTGTTGTGACGTTTAAAGCCTGATTAAATTGAAAAAGTTTCAGCATTTTGGCCTAAGTGTCTTTGTTCGCGGGACAAGTATTTTAACGCATGGCAATGGCGACCTTTATTAAAATTATTTAGTGCATTATTACATGAGTCAAGAACATCTAAGGTTCGTAATTTTGCTAAAATGAGTGAGAGTGTGAGTGTGGGTCAAGAGCAATATCCCATAAGAGCGACGAGGAAGCGGAGGAATTGGCCAATGTCGGCAAAATGGGTCCAAGTGTCCCATAAATACCATAAGAAAGTTGTGGAAACTGGCCTTTATGGCCAAAATGGGTCTAATTGCAAGTCAGTGTCGATATCCCACAGAGATTGAGGGGAACTTGTAGAAACTGAACAATATCGCTAAAATGGGTCCAAGTGGGAGTCAAAATCGTTATAAGCAAGTTGTGGAAAGTGGCAAATATCGCCAAAATGGGTGCAAGTGCGGGTCAATGTTGACATCTCATGAAAATGATAAGAAAGTCGCATGGATTGACCAAAATCACAAAAATGGGTCCAATTGAGGGTCAATGCTAAGATCCCATGAAAATCATTGGAAAGTCGAAGAGATTGGCTGAAATCACCAAAATGGGTTAGGGTGCGAATCAGTGTCAACTTCCCATGAGAATCATAAGAAAGTCGTGGAAACTGGCTACTTTCGCCTAAATGGGTTCAGGTGTGAGTCAAAATCGTTATAAGCAAGTTGTAGAAACTAACAAATATCGCCAAGATGGGTGCAAGTGCGGGTCAACGTTGACATCTCATGAAAATCATAGGAAAGTCGCAGGGATTGACCAAAATAACAAAAATGGGTGCAATTGCAGATTGCAAATGGATCCAAGTGCAGTCAATGACAATTTCCCACAGAAGACACAGAAAAGTCGCAGCACTTAGCCAATATCGCCAAAATCGATGTTTCCAAATATCCCATGAATATTATGGTAAAGTAGCAGAGATTTGCCAATATTTCGTTAAAATGGATCCAAATGCGAGTCAATGTCGATATGCCATGGAAAATTTTCAAACTGACCAAATATCGCGAAAATTGGTATAACTGCAGGTCAATGTCGATGTTCTTTGAAAATCATAGGTAAGTTGCGGAAAATGGCAAATATCGCCAAAATAGGGCCGGGTGCCACTCAATGTCAATATCTCATGAAAATCATGAGACAGATGTGGAACCTCGCCAATATTGCCAGAATGGGTTTAAGTGCAGATCAACAGCAATATCCCATGAAAATCATACGAGAGTTCTGGAAACTGGCCAATATCGCTAAAATGAGTCCAAGAGCGAGTCAATGTCGATTTCCCGTGGAAATCATGGGAAAAATTTAGAAAACTGAACGTAATATCGCTAAAATGGTGCCAAATTAATGCGTGTCGACAAGAAAATAATATGAAGATGAGAAAATTTGCCAATTTCGCTAAAATGAGTCCAAGTGTGGGTTAATGCCAATATCCCATAAAAATGTGAAGAAAGTTATGTAAACTGGCCAATATCGCCAACATGAGTCCAACTTAATGTCAATGTCCCATGAAAATATCAGACAGATATGGAAACTGGCCAATATCACTAAAATGGGTCTAGGCGCGGATCAATAGCAATATCCCATGAAAATCATAGAAGAGTTATGGAAAATGACCAGTATCGCCAAAATGAGTCCAAGTGCGATTCAATGTCGATATCCCATGGAAATCATAGGGAAAATTTGGAAACTGACTAATATTTCCAAAATGAGTGTATGTGCGGACCAACAGCAATCTCCCATGAAAATCACAAGACAGATGCGGAAACTCGCCAATATCGCCAATGGGTCTTAGTGCTGATCAACAGCAATATCCCATGAAAATCATAACAGAGTTCTGGAAACTGGCAGTATCGCCAAGATGAGTCAAAGTGCGAGTCAATGTCGATATCATTGATATCGATATCATTGAAATCATAAGAAAAATCTGGAAACTGACCAAATTTTTCCAAAATGGGTATAAGTGTGGACCAACGGCAACCTCCCATTAAAATCATAAGACAAAAGTTGAAAATTCGCCAATGACGTCAAAATGGATAAGTGCGGATGAACGTCAATATTCGATGAAAATCGGAGAAAAGATGGCAAAATTCGCTAATATCGCCGAAATGGGTATAAGTGCAGGTCAATATCGATATTCTATGAAACTCATAGCCAAGTTGTGGAAACCGGTTCATATTGTCAAAATGGGTCCAAGTGCGACTCAATATCTCATCAAAACCATAGAGCAGATGTGTAAACTCGCCAATATCGCTAAAATAGGTCTCAGTGAGGATCGGCAGCGATATCTCATGAAAATCATATGAAGGTGAGGAAATTCGCCAATATCGCCAAAGAGAGTCCAAGTGTGGATTAATGCCAATATCCCATAAAAATGACGAGAAAGTTATGTAAACTGGCCAATATCGCCAAAATGGGTCCAAGTGCGACTAAAGGTGAACATCTTATCAAATCTTAGTAGAGATGTGGAAACTCGCCAATATCACTAAAATGGGTCTCAGTGAGGACCAACAACAATAGCCCTTGAAAATCATAGGACAGTTCTGAAAACTAGGCGAGTCGCCAAAATGAGTACAAGTGCGATTAAAAGTCGATTTCCCATGGAAATCATAGGAAAAATTTGGAAACTAACCAATATTGCCAAAATGGGTCTGACTGCGGACCAACCGCAATCTCCCATGAAAATCATAGAACAGATGTGGAAATCCGCCAATATCACCAAAATAAGTCCAAGTGGGACCCAATGTCGTTATCCCATGAAAACCATAACAATGTTACCGAGTTTTCATTGCTCGGGAACTCTGGTTTGGCTAAATTCACGTCTGCTGCAAATTGTCTTTAATTCTCTGAAAGGTGGTGAAATCTTCGTAAACGCTCGAAGCTCAGAACAAATGTGGTGCATGCCAATAGGAAACAAGTGATAACAGGGATCAGTTCTTGATGTATTACGCTGTATATCAAGTATACTACGTGTATCCTCCTGGGAAGGCTAACACACACGCACACCCACAGTTTTCGGGGTTTTAACCAATGAAACCGCTGAAGACCAAAGAAATCCGGGCCATACGATCTTCGTTTCGTGTCTTAATTGGTTTCATAGCACCAAAGTAGCCACAATACAAAGAAAATGAATAGAAGGGACCTTTTCCCCCTTATTCTTTTCAAGAAAAAAAAGACACTTTTAGTGTTGTTCCATGATACGATAGAAAGCCTAAAAATGGAAACTTTTCAGACCAGTTCATAAGGGGATGATGGACTACGATACTAGAGTCATTGATTGATATGTAAAGTATTAGCATTGACAAGACAATTGACCAATAGATTTGCTTGTTACTCGCTTTCATTATGCACCTGCACGTCGGCACTTGTTATTTATTACTGGTTTTTGTTAGGTAAATACAAGTGTTAATGGTCTCTCGGGAAAAATTGGTTCAATAGCACCTCTCACCAGTTAGTTCTTAGGCAAGTACCTTGTGCAGCTTTTATAATTACTACTTTAGCTTCTACTCTAGCATGGTGTATGTTGGAGCGCTCTACGAATAAAAGTATACTGTGGAACCAAACGCTATCTCTTTCTTGACGTCCGTACAAGTTCACTGGAAGTAGATCGCTGTGTGTCAGGAAATCGTGACGAGTTTCCGTTCTCATTAGCCGAGTGGTCTCTGCCGATTTAATTCCCCCCGTTTGTATGTTTCCCGCAAGTTCAGTTTAGAGTGCGTGAAAACTTATCGTCAAACTTGTTAGGAAACTATGCGATAAAGATCGGATATGCGATGCTCGATGGACAGTGCTTTTTCCTTTTATTGCCAAGAAATTAACCAAATAAACATATAAAAGCAAGCAAACACACAAACAAAAAATATAAATTAAGAGATTTATTTGCCAAAACCACGTTACAATTTATTGTGCACAGTTCCAAAAGGTTATGGCGCCTTCACAGGGAGGTCAGCCTGAAGAAGTAAACTTCAATAAGTCGAGTGAAAATAGGTTGCCGGCTCTAAAGGCCATTCATAAAACCACCGACAAAAATCGATTCTCCGTCATAGAATGCACCATTCAACCACAAAGTTTCCCGGATTCACTGTGCGCCCATGAATGTGTGTTCGTGGTGGAAGAAAAAAAACCACACGTATTTTTCAGGCCGTGCTTGGTAACAGCATTCCAAATTAGTATCTGCGTAAAAAGGGTTACAAAGTAAATAACGTTGGTGTTAAATACTTAGGAGACCAAATAGTACACTAGTCTTTCATTCCAGCGTGATCACTTTGTTTCATGGAAATTCCTAATTCCTTTCACACGTAATAAGCCCGTCACTTTGAGTGGTAAACACGCTTAACACTGAACTTTACAAAGTCAGAGATAAAAAATAGGTCCGCAATGCGTACGTGTGTCTAGTGCTGGGTTTTAGGGGTACTTCCGTGGGGTCTTGTTTTGTGTAGGTTTGGTTGCAAGTTCAATTCAACAATTTGAACAAGAATTGATTAAAATAATTTTAGCTGCAAGGTTAGGTGGCTAAAATCTGGAATACAGAGACTGAAACATAGACATCAGGGATGAACAAGTTTATTGTAAAAAAACAGCCTGCATTACAAAAGGAACCGTAACTGTATGTATTTAATACAACAAGTAAGAACAAAACATGATTCAAGTTAGGAATTGTGATTTATTTTCTTTTACATCAGAAAATTTCATGAACATATAACTGTAAAATAAAAAAGAAATAGAAAGTTTAACAACAGGAGAGTATGAAGAAATGCGAACAGCTCTACTACTTGATAATCACTAAAGGTTTCAACTGAGACGGGTTACTTTTGTAATTGAAAATTATAAGTGGCAACATCAGTAATCTGCATTAGAAGCCTTGAGTTCCTGTTGAAACTTTCTCTTCTCAATGTATAAGCATTAAAAATACTGTTCATAAATGTACTTCAGTTGCAGTTTTCAATTGAATGTACAAACTCAATAAAATATATAATATCTAAATACTTTTAAATACAAAAAGTCACTTGGGAGAAGTGGAATGCTATAACAGAACATTGTCCCAGTGATAATAACATGAACATTTTTGTCTTTAGTGAAAGATACAACAATGGCTTTGGTATCCTGTTAAATGGTAATATAGAGTGGATGCATTCTGATCTTTATCATTATTTTGGTTCTTGCTGCAGTTAAGTTCTCTGCAACACTGACTGCTGCCACAACTTTAGTTTTCTTATCAAAGGTAACAAAGAGCATTGGTGTATTTAGGAATGCTTCAACAACAATATCCTCACTTAATGACTGCTTAGTGTCAACTTTAAACAACTGTAAGGCACTGAGCAAAGTATCATTAAAAAATGTTACAGTGGTGTTAATGTCATCATGTCTCAGCGATGCCCGCAAGTGGTACTGACTGCTGCAAGCAGACACTTTCTGCCTGAGGCCACATGTTTCACACTTTACTACATTCCCTGGTGTTGCTGGAAGCTTTTTGTTACATTTGCAACATTGGCGATAGCACATGAAATTTTGAACACCAAGGACTTCAGCATTTGTTGATGTTTGGGTGAAGTAGTCTGGCAAATCACCTGGTGAAGCTACTTCCTCTGGGAAAGGATCAGCTGGTGAAATGGAACAGTAATGCTTTGGTGTAGTAAGGTAAATGGAGTAGTTGTCATTATCCTTCGTCACTTTAAGGTTATATGTGTTGTCGTCTGCAACTTCTGTAATCAGGTCCTCCCACAGGGTTAGTTTGATTGATCCAGATGGATCTAGGAGGCAACAATCAGCTTTCGACTTCGTGCCATCTCTTGTGATTATTTTCTTCACTCCAGATAAGTGGACCACTTTGGCTTTGAGATTAATAAGCTGGTTATTGGTGACATTCGAGAGCATCGAGATGTTTAGAGTTGAGGGAATCTCTTCTCGTAGAAAAGTGACCTCCTTCAGTTCCTCTATTTGGACTCTTGCATTCATGAGAACACTGTCATTTTTAATAGTGAAGTTGCTAATCTTTACTGGGGACTTTTGTTTGCTGCATCTTTCAAAGTCAAGATGCTTGCTTGAAGAGAAACAGACTCCTCGTACTTTGGTCGCTTCTGTTTGAATAAGCATATCAAAATAGCGAGTCTTGTTGGAGTGCTTAACAGGGGATACGTTATGAATGTATCCTGTTTGGTTGTTCATTGTTGTTGTCTATTACAACCGAGGTGTGTCTACCTGGAGAGCGAAGAGAAATAAATGGTATCAGTAACTGTGGGTTGTAGAAAAGGTGTCAAAGAAAACTGCAATCTGTATGTACTACAGGGCACAAAAGCAATAATCATAAAATAAACATACCTGGATATGTGTTGTATCACATATCTGCAGATTACCCCTTAGATGTCAATCACAGTGCATGATTGGTATCTAAGGTGTAAATTTGAGTTAATTTCATTTTTTTGTACTCATTAACTATGAATATTCTCTTTAAGACAAAAATAAAAACACATGGAAGTTACAGTGAAGGTGACAAGAAAACCATAAAGTCTATTTTTAATCAATGCACAGATTGCTTTGTGATCAGAAAAATAAGTTTCTAAAATGTGTACATGGATTTGTGATTCAGGTAAATTAGTGTAGACATGGTCTATAGTGGTTCTGTTATTAGTAGTAGAACATGATACCAGTTGTCTGTAACTGTGATCTCTTATAAATAGATTATAAAGAGGAATCTTGTCTTTTTCATTTAACCAATTGATATTGAAATCGCCAATGAAAACTTTGAAATCTGAAATATCAAGGGTAAGAAGTCCGATCGATGCTACACACATTTGTCTAACTGGCACTCTTGGAGACCAATATATGCCTATTATGGTAATATGTGGAACTGTTGTAACCTTAATGATAGTTATTTCAACACCACCAGTGTTGTTGCAAACTGAATATCCAGGTAGAAAAGGAATTTTACTGTACACTGCAGTTCCACCATAAGGTCTTGTACTGAAAACGTCAAGTTGACTGTCATTTCTAAATAGGGTATACCCAGTGATGCTGTAGTCAGTATCACTGTCTAAGTAACATAACTGTGTTTCTGAGAATACATTTACATCCATGTTTGAGTAGTTTAAGTCTTTTTGTATGTCCTCAATATGTCTATGCAATGACCTTGAATTAAGAAAACATATCTTAAAGGCTGTTGGATCTGTTTTATAAATTGAAATTATGGAAAGCTTGAGGTGCTGGTCTTTTCTTAAATGTTGCATTTCTGCTTTTACTTCAGGATTAACAACTATTTTGCTTTCACAAAGGTCAGTAATATACAATCCCTCAATAGTTGTTACTCTGCTCAGTCCTACATAATGTACATGAGGTATTGCTCTTCTGGTGTTAAAGTTAACAACTATTCTAGTTTCAGTGTCACCCTGTGATCTATGTATTGTTTTTGCTGCTGCAGGTCTAAGTGGAAACTGCTCTCTTACAACTTGAGCTGTTCTATTTCTTCCAACTACAAATTGTGCAGTAACAGGTTTGATGGGGGTCCACGTGCATTCAATGCCATTGACATACACATGTCTGTTGTCATGTCTGGTTTTCTCACCAACATCCATATGGTCAAATTGAACCCAAATTATACCAGATGGTATATTTGTGTCATACAATTTTATCATCTTGATGATGCCGCCAGCACCATTTGTGATACCATCATCAGTTCTTACATTTATTGCTATTTCTATTCTTTCCCTTCGGCAAGTTGAAGATTTGAAGCTAACTGCTTTGTTTTCCTGGGATCCAGTGGTAATTGCTTGAAGATTTTATCTCTGAGTTCTGGAGAATTTGCACCTATAACACTATCCAATGCTTTGATGGTATATTTGTCACCAGTAGCTGCCCTGTGAACTCTAATATTAAACTAGTCAACTTGAATGAACAAACGAGGAACATCAATTGGGTAATTCATACAGTGTTCTGAAATGCATCTTACTTTCAGTTTTGCAATATCATCTTGGGTGTGATTACCTTCTCTCAATCTATTTAGAATTTGAGCAAATTCTCTACTTTCCCTTTGTCTCATAATTTCGTCCAGTTCAAACATTGTAAAATGTTCTTGCCATAAATTGGGGGCAAGAGATCCATAATCTGAGTTCTTCATATCTTTGAACACATAACTGTCCATAACAGGTTCTAGTTGAAACAAATCACCCAATGCAATTATGCTAATACCTCCAAATACCTCTTTACTACCCTTGATATCCTTAAGTCTATTATTTATTTGGACATTTAACATAGTATTGCCTATCATTGATATTTCATCAAGAAATATAAGCTGAACAGCACAAAGTTTACATCTGAGGGTATTTAGTCTGCTTGAGTCAAGAGGTTTATATGTCTTTAGAGACTGGCATGCTGGTATTGCCAAGGCACTATGTACTGTGTTCCCTTTGATACCATAAGCAGCTTTTCCAGCAGGGGCAAGCAATAACATTTTAACTTCATTAAAGTTTTCCCCTGCTCTGGAATTATAATGTTTTACTGCTGCAAGTGATGGCATGGATCACCATATAACTGATGAGAAACAGCTCTAAAAAAACAGTCACCAGCACCCCCAACATCTAGGGGTCTCAATCCCAGGTGACGTAACCGAAAGTTTAACAATATGGTGGAACCAACTGATACTGTAGTTTCAGTGTTCACATTTACATGTAATTGAGGGCCTGGATTTAATTCAATATCACCTGAAGTCATAAGCTTCATTCTTGATACAGAAAATCTTCTAGAATGGCTGCTTGATTTCTTTAAAAGCTCATTTACGATTGGTTTGCTTAGATTAACAAAGCTGGTGAAAAAACTGTCACATCTCTTAAGATATCTTATGTAACACAACTTATAGTCAGTAGCAAAGCTGTATAACCTTGAAGACAGGAATATATTTCCTAATGATGACCTTAAGTTTATATCTTGTTTTTCTTTTTTTCATAAACTGCACAATCCGTTTCATCGAGACCCTCGACGGCTCTCGGTTTCTACGTCGTTTCATTTGTTTTTGGTCAGCTATTTTGAAATGTGCATCAATTTCATCTGTTCCACGTGAACACAACATATCCACATCAGTTGTTTTCGATAAATCGCTTAAATTACGTTTAATCGCATTTATACTGCTACTAACATAACTTTTTCTGTTCATATATACCACAGCTTTCGCAGATGTTTCGTCAGTCAAAGGAGCCTTTCCTTTAACATCAGTCAGGTTTCTCGCTCTTCTATATACATTTTGTGTAATCTCCAAACGGGCAGGCTCAATAATCCCCACAAGGGGCTCAATTTTCCCCACAAGGGGCTCAATTTTCCCCACAAGGGGCTCAATTTCCCCAAAATGGGCTCAATTTTCTCACCAACTTTCCGAAGTGTGATCCACAAGAGTGAAATTCCTCCTTTCCTCAAGGCACGGGTAAAAGCACATGGTGGTCAAAGATCAGAGTCATCGTCATATTTTCGTCCCCGAATTCAATTGCTCCCGACTCTTCCTTACTTTTTTCTACTTGAATCCAATTGGTCAACCGACAGTTTCCGAAATTATAACGATAAAATATCGACATGGTTACACATTCCACTGGTTGAAAATCAGTGTACAATTCATGTTATCCGTCACGTAAGGTAAGCTATGATTAAAACATCATATTTCGTGCTCAAATGTGGCGTATATAAAGTGCTTTTCGAATTCCGTACGCTCTTCCATCGTGTCTGCGTGCTAATGCACTAGACACAAAAACTTGCTCACCTTTGGAAACGATAAAACCTGCTGCGTTGAGATTAGGAAGGAGTACCAAGAACAATGGATGCGCGGGAAGTACAGTGGTCAACACTCACTGTGGCTCTGGTTGCAGATGACTGATAAACACTTTAAGAACTTGTGTGTGATGAGGTTGTGTCAAAGTGAAGGAAGAATGTATATTGTGTAAATTTCATCTTTTCGACTGAGGTGTTTTGTAAGTTCTATTAGTAGTTAGTTTGTTGTGAGTTGGTATTGTTACGGTTGTGAATAGCAGTGGTTTTTAACTTAAACCGGGAGTACTAATTAACAGGAGGTCGACGAATTAACAAGGGAAGGAGTGGGCGTAGGAGAAGTTGATGTGTGAGTGGTGGCTGAAGGGGTCGTGCAACTATCCATGGAGGGTACAGACAAAGAAATACCAAAGCTCCAGTCATGACGGGCGAGCCACAGCTTTCGGCGCTGGCCGCTTCCGTAAAGAGACGGTTTACGCGGAATAACACCAATCTCTTTCTTTAAATCCAAGGGAAGGTTATTAAATGAAATTCCCAATTGCTGTATCTTAGCGTAATGCATTTTACTTCCTCTGTTTCCGACAAGTTAACCTACAAAAGACAAAGACAGAAATTGACTGGAAAAAAAAAACGAAGCTAAAAGTCACTCCTTGTTGCGTTGAATAATTATGACACTTATACAGAAATCATAGCCATAGATAAAGGCAATTACCACATCAATACATTAAAAGCAGAAATAAAATTTATATTGGGAAAGAAGACTGACTTTTTTTCGTATTGCAACAAATCAAAGAGAAGGCAGAAGCTGAGTGTAAAACAGCTATTGACTCCTTAAATGCTTCAAATAGTAGTTTATGGAGATGTAGTTTTCAATCATGGGTCAACTGAAACTGAATGCGGCCATTTCAGTGGAAAGAGAAAACAAAGATATTTTTCAATAATTTGGGGGAACATCAGCTTGGTCTTCGAAAACCTTAATCCGCACGTGTATGGATAAAGGCAAATATATGCTATAAAAATGCATACTGTATTTGAAGTTGAACACTTCTTGTAGATGTTTTACTGACACGTCTTGCTTTTCCACCAGGGAATTACCTATAAATTAAGGACCTATTTTCACTGGAAATATAATGCTTTCTTTTCTAAGTTCTTAAGAAACGAGATGCTTGGTGTAATAAGTTGTTGATCTAAGCATCAATGTAGTGAATTTCATTGAGATTCATTTATTGTTTTAATATATTGAGATTATATTGATATTTAAGAACATAGATGTACACTTAGAGTAACAGAAATTGAGTACCGGGACTACTGCTCTCGATAACTTTTTTGTGAGGTTCTGTTTATGTTTTGAGTGCAGGAATGAAATGCAAATTGGAATTAACAGGTAATTGGTTTTCCTAATTGTTTTTCTTTTTTTCATCAAC